GGGTGGGGGGGGGGGGGGGGGGGCTTGTGTCGCATAGGAAGGGTCACTGTCTAAAACCCTGGCGCATGTAAAACCAAAAAGGTTTATTTATTTGTCTATATGCAAGAAATGTGGAAAACTTATTAAGTAGATTTTGGGAAGGTATAATTTAAATCCGATATTTGTACGTTGCTTTGGTATTATTTTCTGGTACTTGTACGTGTGTTCAGCTAAGTGTGACTACCTTGAGCTCATTGCTGTTTTATCAGGTTTGTGAGGAAATTTATTTCAGTAGCACAAAGACAGTGTTAGGCTTCTGTCTCAGTCTGGCTGCATTTAGTTTTTGAAATTTGTTAAGCACTGTGATCAATTTTAGATTCATAGAGTGTGCAACAAATGCCTCATTTGAATTGCTTCAAGTCATGTGACCATTGTTTGTTGATCACCTATTGTGTTTTTACAAATGATTCTGTCCAAGCTCTTCCATCAGCCAGCCAATTTGTGTTTGTGGTCTCAGCATTTCAACCACCTCCATCATACATGGGCTTTCCATATGCGACAAATCTAATGGGGGTCAGTGGAGCTCAGATTAAGATCCTCCCTGGTTCTGCCAGATCAGTGGTCGCCTTCGGTGGTTGTGAGTTCAGATAATGAGTGCGCCAAATCTTCATATTTTGTGCTGTATTCAATAAAATATCTCCATTTGCTTATTTTAAAAGTGAATCCCTGAAATAAATGTGCCTCCGGCGAAGGTGTTAGTGAAACTGAGGCACTGTTCCCAATGTTGCATGTAGGATTGAAAACAGATTTCCAAACCCTTTAGAAATAATTATATGCATATCTTGTGAATTAATCTTATGCAATTTGTTATGAACAATTTTTAAATTTAATTTTTAACAGATGTCGTTGAAAGAAAAATTTTTTTTTTGTTCAACTAGAGCTATGTTAAGATAAAAAAAAAATATTTTTAAAAAAAAATATATATATATATCAGACTCTGTGGCCCAACATCAAAGTTCAGTATGCAAGATTTTCTTGACTAATTTTTTCCAGCTAAAGATTTTAATGCCATATTAATATTTTTTTTTTTCAATTATACCCTTTATTTAAAAAAATGCTTTTTATCACACTTAATTATTGTTGAACCTTTGTTTGATATCAAACAACCAAAGGTCTCTGTAGGCTCAAGTTTGTCAGAGGAGATAAAATACGATACACATCTTAGTATCCTGATACATTTAAATCCCTTAAATTTCGGCGAATCCTTACTTTTCTAATCCTGAAATACACTTTTTAATTATTTTTTTTAAAAGCCAAGCAAGAAAAAACATGGCCGCTAGCGTCACACAGATCCACCAATTAAAAATGAAGGCAATAAACATCAGTAATTAGTTTAAAAATTAACTTAGCTTTTCTTTATCATCAGTGGGTTGACAAATGCTTGTATGGGATTTTTGTTGTTTTTTAAAAAGTGGGTGTTTGCCCACGTCGTCATGGCTGTGGGGTTAGCGGGATTGATTTGTTATCATTGTTCATGTACACCAATGTATGATCATGGCGGCTTGATGAGCTGTAAGGGCACCTTTGTAAAAAGAGTAAATAGGGTTAAAACAAAACAGACCCTGTGCTTTTTATAAGGAAAGATGCTGAATACAATACATTATGACCAAATGTTTAAGCTGACTACGTCAAGTGGGGCTCTCAAAACAAAAGTGAATCCTTTTTTGATGAGGACAATTTTCCAGCAAATTTTTTTTTTCCCAGGACGTGTTGAAGTAAGATGGCCACTCACAACTGAAGACATGGGTTTAACATGGGTCTAGTTCCCATTCAGTTTGAAAATGGTTTGACTGGTCATTTTTTTTTTTTAGTTCTGAAGGTGAAAATAGAATGTTCTATATGAAGCCAGTTCAATCACCAAGATGTTTTCTTAAGTCACCAATAAAACGTGGGTAGATACTTTGCAGGAAAGTGATATTATATTTGAAAACCGTGCTAAATAAATGTGTGTACTTTATGTAGTTAAGTGGGCCTAACGACTAGGCCTGCAATCTGATTTAGGCCTTCTATTTATGACATTTTTTTTTTTACGTCTTATCAGTTGAACTGAGAAGACTCAGTGGCTGGTATTGTTTTGTTGAAAGACCATATTTAAGGGATGCCAGTTTCGGTTACCCTTACAACTGAGACAATGTTGAGCTAATTGTTGTGAGCTGGTTGCATTTGTGATAAAGTGAATTTATATGGAGGGGGACATCGTTACGGGTGTGTTCAAATATTAACTCACTGCACTACTATAAGATTTTGACGTTCCTATTCAAGAAGTTTTGTGGCAATAGTTATCATATTATTATACAATTTTTGCTGTAAAAGTGTTATTTTTCCTGTACCCTGTTGTTAACAAATTTTTACCTGTCTATTTCTGATGTTCTATTTTTATGCCAACCTGAATATTAAATTTTTCTAGCAAGGAGAATTTAAGTAAATTTTTTTTGTCCTGTTTCGTAAATGATAAGAAATGGTTAATCACTTTAAACATTAAAAAAAAATATTTTTAAAAACTTTATTAATGAAAAGACTTTCCGCCAAAGATGAAATTAAACGCACTAAAAAATAGAAAATAGTTTCACATTTCTAAAAATGCATTATGCAAAGAAAGACCTTGCAGAAGTGAAGATGAGCAGTCTGCGAAGCCAAAGGATTCGAATTGAATGTAGTCAAAACATAGATATTATATTTTATTTTTATTAATTTTTGTAAAAAAAAGTTTCAGTGAAGGCTTTCTTTCTCCTTTTTCAATTTAAAAAAAAAATTTTTTTATATTTTTTTAAAATTTTCTAGTTTTGAATATTAAAATTGTAATCTTTAAATTATCGACAAAAGTAGAATTATTACCTCAGGCCCTGCCCCTAACCCCTTCCGTAGCAGCCCTCCCTGAAAATCTGCATACCGATGTTCACAGAACGAGGCAGATGAAATGAAACACAAATCAACTGAGCCAAATAGTCACGCGCGTAAACAAACCAAAAAACTTGACACTCCACAGGATGGGAATGGGAGTAGAAAGAAAGCCTTTAATAACCAACTGATTAGTGGTACAATTTTCTATGAAGTAACCAATCACAAAGAAGATCATCTTGCCAAAAATAATGTTTAACCATTTCCTATATCATGTAGAGATGGTACAGTATTAATGTCACTTAACACACACACCTTGTTTGTAGTTGTCATTATATTGTTTTATTTTATGGTTTTTTCATCCCTGAGTCTATTGAGAGAAGGGGAGCAGGCTATTTACTTATAATTGTTGGAATGAAATAATATAAAGATAAGCCTTATTAATAGGTTCAATGAGGTAGGATAAAGATAAGCCTTAATAATAGGTTCAAGGTTGAAGTGTATATCTCACAAACTCTTTAAAACCATTCTGTCAAATTTAATGTGTACTAATGTACAATGGTCTGGAAGAGAATTTATCCAAAACGAATGTTGGAGTGAAGAGATAGACAGACAAGATAATGTTTTTTCAGGTGATGCGCTTGTCAACAATAGTTACATGAAGTACGTGTAATGCTAGGCTTCTCAAGAATAGTTTTATGAAGTACGTCTAATGCTAGGCTTCTCAAGAATAGTTTTATAAAGTACGTCTAATGCTAGGCTTCTCAAT